GTACTCGCCGCGCGCTCAATTTATCAAAGGTGTTTTATATTGAACATAACGACATATACCTGTTACCTTTATTTTTATATATGTTTTAATTGAAAAGAGAGACGGAACGTAATTCTTTCGCCATTGTGTTTACCCAAACAATTTCTTTTATACTTTAAGCACAATTTGCCAGCGGATTCATGATAATTAGAGTTAGAAAGCTTTGCTCCAAATTTGGACTGGTCATATTCATAACTGATTTATTCGTAAATCTTCAAACATATCAGGATCTTTTAAATTGGTTAATGCTTTCACTTACTAAAATCCATGAAAACAACGAGCTCATTATGAGTCTTCACTTATATCTGTATTACATTTTGATTCGTTTACTATGTTATGATAAGGTAGCCCACTTTTTGTAATATTAATTGTACATAAACCTTGTTTTAGTTGGGAAGCCCAAAAAGCTTTTTCTTTGTTTCAGGTACGAGTTATGGTACCAGGTGCTGATCGAAAATTGAAAGAACATCAGAGATTATCATGTGATTATGTAATGACTCATACTTACTCTCCTAATCGTTCTGTTTATGCGAACATGGACCACAAGCAGGCGAAACACGACTCCGAATATGGACCTCTATTGAGCAGAACGCCCCCGGACGTTTGCTCGACAAACAAACTTTTAGAACTAACCCCTACGAGTAGTTCAAAAAGTTCGACGGATAAAAAAGACGAAATCATTAACAGTAAACCATCAAACTCGGCTAATAATTTTTACGGTCAAACCGTTCCCATCCAAATTAAAAACTACAGTCACAGCAGCTTAAATTATTGTAACGCTTTTCCCCATTCGAACAGCCTTAAATATGGAACTATGCCCCACGGCGGTACTTTAGTACATGAGGGCTTTCTGGGCGTTTCAGAACTGGGTAGCTCGAGCTCAAACAGTTCAAGTAGTTTCTCCGTTAAAAGTAAAACGTTACAACATCCCAGACAGAAAAAAAGAACTATCAAATTTGAAGCTTTTCAGTGTCCTGAAAGCGGTTATGTTGACTTTAGTAAAAGAACTACCACCTTTTCCTACTCTGGAAGTGCCGTATGACGAACTGAAATTGTTAAAGTGAAAATACAATAGTGTAATTTGATTTACAGAAGAACTGTTGTGCTAATAAGTGTACGTAATAATTACAAATAAACGCTGTTAGAGTCCGCTCACTTAGAGAAAGGTACACGATGCCAGATCGATGTGTGCAAACTGTTATAATGGGCGTAACTGTTAGAAATTTACGACGCCAGAGGCTTAGGCCACTTTCACACAAGGCGATATCGACACGGTTTACTGCACGCGATTTGTCGTATCGTATCGCTTTTAATTATGCAACTTCATACTGTTTCGGCAACGTTCCAAGTTGAAATACAAGCCTACCTATCCTCTCACTGTTGTCTGGTTTAATTGATTGTATCTAATGGAGTGAAAAACAGTAATTCTATTAAATCGACTATTTTGTAATTGAATATTTTTTTCTTTGAGAAAGACATGTTAATGAGTATTGGCAACCGTGGACAACGATTGGTGCAACACACGATATGTGTCAAAGCGTACATTTGGCTACATTAAATATTACGTGTCGTGCAGTATTTTTATCGCACTATTTGTTAATACAAATCGGAATATATTTGCGATATTTTTCACTTCAAGGATTTTAATATCGGATCGCATCAGTGTTAAAGCGTTCGCTTTAAATACATTTATTTTGGATATACTTTTGTGTTGTTGCGATTTACCGCATGCGGTAAATCGTGTCGTTATCGCACTGTGTAAAAGTGGCCTTACGGTTGGGTTTTGATCCGAAACATCTGACGGTAAGCGACCGGCCATACTGCGGGGACAGCCAGCTACCGATGCTTCGTTTATACGCATCATCCACCCTGTATTTTTCTCTAAGTGAACGAACAATATTCTCTCTTCCTTTTACTGATAGAACAGTGCTCAGGTAAGGACTCATTGTCAAATAGAAGGTAAGTGACTTCCTTATTACGGGAATTGTTTTGACATATCTAAATCTAAGTATCCAAAATGGGGTCACAATTTGAATTTAGTAGTTACAATTGTCAGGTTACCATTTCTTCTAAATATTGTGTACATTTTTAAGAAGAATGCATCAATAACAGAACATGCAGTATCTATAACAAATAATGGCGGCTGTAACATAACCTAAATTGTGACACCATGTTGGTTTTACACCGTTGGAATATCCCAAAACAGTCTGTTAGAAATGTCATTAATCTATATTATGCACTTGTTTATTACCTGGGCATTACTCTACGCAAAAATAATCAAATTGAATGTTAACAAGAAGTGATAAATACACTGTTCTAACATATTAATCTAAATGTTGCTAATTACTCAATTATTATGTACTAATTTTATTCTGATTTTGTTTGGAACTTTTTAAATAATAACTAGTAAANCTAAGCCATATTCGAGGAAAAAACTCAAGGTGGCTAAGGTCACTTTCAAAACGACTCATAAAAAGGTCGGCTATAAAGGGTGATAAAGAATTCCCCATAGCTGTTCCTTCTTTCTGTTCGTAGAAGCAACCATTTATCTGAAAATAATTTTGCCGCATGCACATTGAAGCCAGAGTTATGTACTCAGCTACAATGTCGGCGGAGAAACCATTTTCTTTAAGTAAATCCTCTAAATACGTCAAAGTAAGCGGAACAGGTACACTTGGAAAAAGGGAGCAAACATCAAATGAAACCATAACCTCACTGTCTTTTAGTTTTACGTCTTTGACTTTGTTTATGAATTCAATAGAATTTTTAACTGAAAAACTAGGTGGTTTAATAGGGAGGTTGTTGAATTCATTTGTCAACCACTTGGCTAATTTATAAGTTGGTGCACCAATTGCAGAGACAATTGGTCGCATCGACTTACCTGGTTTATGTATCTTGGGCAAACAGTACAAACGGGGAACTGTTGGACATGATACAAGTAAATTTCGTTTTAATGTAGGAGTAATAATGTTGTGACATTGTTTTACGGTTTTAGTAAACCCAGCAACCATACTAGGTAAAGGATTTTTATTTAATTTTGAATAAGGTCCGTTGTTAATAAGGTCATCAACCCGATCGTAATAGTCTTTTTTATCCAAAATCACAACTTTATTACCTTTGTCAGCTTTTACGTAAAAACAATCCTTATCTCTCAATTTTTTGATAACTTTCATATTAGCATTTTTAATATGGGAACTCTGAGATTTTAAGCTGGTTTTCAATTTTAGTTTGCAAGCCTCTCTGATATAGCCTTTGGAATTGTCATCAAGATGTTGAATTGAACTTTCAACATGTCCTATAACATTTTCTAAGGCTGTAGCAGGAGAAGGCAAGGCAAACTTTAATCCTTTATTGAGTAAACTAATTTCGGCATTATCAAAAACTTGAGATGACAGATTCTCTACAATGTGTTCGACTTTCTTAGGAAGTGGTTTGGAGAATATACCTAACTTACGTAACTTCTTTTTATGAATGTTCACCTTTTTATGAAATTTACAATCTATAGATAAAAACATCTTCCTTTGAAAATCGCTCCATTTTTTGAATTCTTTTTCACTTAAATTATAAGTTAAAGATTTAAATAAATTATACGCCTCTATTTCAAGTAGACTACGTTTTGAGTACAAGAAATCCAATTCTAAATCTAGCCACTTACGCTTAGCAAAAGTGGTTATTTTTTCAATAACTTTACAGTTCTTTGAAACTTTAATATTCATAAACTCTGGGAAAAGAGAGTTACGTTTACAGGTTTTTAAGAATTGGATATCTGCACCAATTAATCTAATCTTACAACTAAGTTTGTGATACCTGTTTAAATCCGATGACCGGGAAGCCATGACGAAATATGAAGATTGGAAAAACTTTGGCGGTTGTTGTAGAACAAACAGAATAGCTCAAAACCCCAACGCCAAAACACGACACTGTAGTTGTCCGAAGCACTTTTCGGTAACAAAGTTACCTTCTTCAGGGACTGAAGTAAACTGGGTCCCTGAAGAAGGTAACTTTGTTTTTGCTAATTTATAAATGTAAAATTTTAAAGAAAAGCGTTTTAATAACTATCTTTATTTGTTAACAAAGAACTAAAGGAAAAATTACAAATATTAATGGTACTAGATATCAATAGAAGTACCCACCCAATAAAATACTATATTTTCCGCAAAATTTCCAAACGAAAATTCAAATTTATTAAAGAATTTGAATTTACTTTAATGTGTGATGACTATGGTCATTAAAAGAAAGTAAATATATTAATTTTGGGAAAATACTGCCTCGTAGCGCTATCTCTCGAAGTCGAACCAAAACTCATGCATAAAGCTGCTACGAAAATTGTACACGTCTGACGAAATCTTCCTTGAGCTTTTCGTGTTTGTCTAACTGCAGGACTAAAATTAATCATACTTCAACTGAACTCCGCAAGAGTTCAATTGGAAAATAAAATTTGAAATTGTTTTTCTTGTTGTAGTTCCTAAGTATTTACTAAAGTTTATTTACTGTATTTATTAGATAAAAGTAAATGATTTTCCAAAGCTGAATTTTGTTCAACGCATTTTTTCTTAAAATAAAAAGTTTTCCCAAATTAAAAGTTTTGAGACTAAATTGGGTACTTGACATATATTTTCCTTAGTTATAACTGTTTTGTATGGACATACAATTTAATACACAAGAAAATAAACGAATCGATAAAATTTTATCTTCATTAACTTCGATTCACTGTCACAAGTTCCTTGTGAGTTGATATCTCGCAGGCAGTAAGTAATAACTAATGAGAGATTTGTCCAGGTAAAAATATCAAGATCAAGGTCAAGCAGAACCTCTTCTTTGGGTCGAATGTAGGACAACTGGTCATCAAAATTGTTCTCTGTCTCTCTCATTATATGTGTTTATGAACTGTTGTTATGGTAAAAAGAGAAAGCGCATCGTCTAGCTGTAACGCTAACTCAAAAGTACCGTATGAATACCTCCAACTAACTGCCTCCTTCCACCTCGGGCCAACGCCATGGAAGTGTACGTGGACAACATTTTCAACAGTCACATCTATATGTTTAAACATATCAACCTACCTACTTGTTATACGAGTTTCGCATTTTCAAAAGATGCTGAATAATACGTTAACATGAGTGAAAATGTAACTTGTGAATAGCCTCCACAAATTTTTTCGATCAAAAGGAAATGCGTTAAAATGTAGTTTTCGAGTTTGTTGAAATTGTTTTAAAAATTATTTATCTATTAGTCTTAGTTAATTAAATTTTTTTATGTACTCAAAATATTCTGCATAAATTTATTCTTTTGTGATACTAGTGTTACGTGTAGCTGTTTTTCCTTTTTTTATCGATAATGGCTAGCTGGATTAACTTAACGAAAAGTGCTCCGGATGAAAAGCAGCACAAAAGTGTGATAGTGGCGTACATTTTGTGGTTGTTTGGTGGTATTTTCGGACTTCATTTGTTTTATCTTGAACGAGATGCTCACGCTTTCCTTACGTGGAGCACTCTGGGAGGTTACTGCTTGGGGTGGTTGGCCGATGTCACCAAGATTCCCAGATACGTCAGGGATGCCAACGAAGATCCCGAGTTCATCGAGGAATTTATTTTGAAACTCAGAAAGGAAAAGAAGGTACAATCATTTTTATGTGACATTCTCAATCAATTTACAGAGAAGAAATATATTGATTTAAATACACAATAATTTAACCAGTCGATGTTAATTACTATTAAGAGCCCCTTGAACATTATGTCGAATAAATACTCAAATAAGTGCGAATGATATTAAAAAATCATTTTTATATATATAATACTACGACGATAATTGTTTGTCTTGTATAAATATTTTCTTCCTCAATTATACGCATGGTATTTATAACTGTTTATCAATTCAACTGAATAATTAAAACTGCACTTGAAGATACGTTTAAAAACGTTTTTTTTTTAATTCTAAATCTGTTACTTCATGATTATACATACCTACATTCATACATACATATGTATCTATATCCTGTTATAATCCGAAGTCCTGTGCACGTATACAATCCAAGTACATTATTTTTTGACTTGATGAACAAATGCTCCTGAATACTTCTTGCTTTATTAAGTGTTCAATTTACGATTAGGAATTCCAGTACAGAATGTGCATTAGTTCAATAATTATTTTACTTTACCGATTTGGAGTTGTAAAAGGAATAATAACGTTAAAGTATGTTTTATTAAAATTATTTAACGTCCACCATCTCCCAGAAACAAATAAATATATCTACATTCTGTTGAGCAAATCAATAAAGATCAATTAACAAACAACAGAAACATAAATTATGACAAATCCATTGAAATCTGAACTGTCAATTTTGAAATAAAAACATCTTCCACGTGAGATCTCTAAAGAACACTTTTAAAATTGTGATATTAGCTAGCAGTTAGTCTCTATTTATCGTATACCTATTCATCGTCTAGCACCTTATTCTCCCCTTGTTCCAATTACTTCATATGAAGATTGGAAAAACTTTGGCGGTTGTTGTAGAACAAACAGAATAGCTCAAAACCCCAACGCCAAAACACGACACTGTAGTTGTCCGAAGCACTTTTCGGTAACAAAGTTACCTTCTTCAGGGACTGAAGTAAACTGGGTCCCTGAAGAAGGTAACTTTGTTACCGAAAAGTGCTTCGGACAACTACAGTGTCGTGTTTTGGCGTTGGGGTTTTGAGCTATTCTGTTTGTTCTACCCAATTACTTCAGTTTTTAAGAAAATATTTTATAAACATTCATTTAGTTTAACAAGATTAATAAAAAATAATGAATTGTGAATCCCACTATCAACTATATGTATTCATTCAAATGTCTTTCTATATTGTACATAAATACTTATCTTTTTTTTTTTGATATCCTTACTTTCGTATCAAACGTTTAATGCTGTTAAAGTCACTAGCTTTAGCAAAAAGTTAAGTTGTACTTCAAGAATAGAAATTTCCTTGAAAGGTTTAGTTTAATTAAATTTATTAAATAATTAATAGACGCACTTTCCTGTAATGAGAAAATTTCCTTCTTGATTGCACGACTAATTGAGCTTCATTTTCTAAATTAAGATTTAATGGCGTTAATAATGAAATAAAATTTGCGTAGAATTAACAATTTTAAACCTGGAACTATAAGTAGATAAAACTAAACACAGTAATTTAGCAGCAAAACGTATTGATAAATATTTATAATGTGAAAGCTATAGAGAACTTATGGCAAAATTTTGAAATGGGAACATTTTTCAATATTAAATACTTTTCCTGCAATTAAAGTCGTTTTTATTTTTAGCCCCCATTTTCATCCAGCAGATTTATATCTGCCATTATGGTTGCTTACTCATGGGCCCAATTGGTCATGGTGGCAATACCGGAAGATGATGTTGGTGGTGTTAATTGGAGTTTTCTTCACTGGCTAATTCCGTTAGGAGCTGCCTTAGGTAATCGCAATTTTTTAGTTTATATCAATTTTGTTTTTTTTTTAATTAATTAATTTTTCCTCATTAATTTGAGGAAGTGTGTAGTGGGCAAAAAAGAATTCAAGAAATTCATTTTCAGAATAATATTTCATAATTAATTTTCTTCTATAGCAAAACTTCCTATTTTATGAAATAATAGATCCTAGAAATGTTTGTCGTTTGTTTAATAGTGAGAATGTACTGAATGCTTTAACTAATTATTCATTATCTTATGCATATTTAAACTGCGATAATGTAAAAGATTAAATTAAATGGACGAGTTGGTGAGTGAATACGAAGTAAATATATGATCTCAAATGTGTAAAATTTTCTACAGATTTTTACACAAACTTCCACAAACTCATTAGTGGTTAAAATTTTTAACTAGTGATTGAAAAATCAGATTAACAACCTAATAAACTAAAGATAATAGTAATAAAATTTTAAAGTCAAATCAAATGTCAATAAGAGATAAAAGATTAAAAATCTAACTTGTTAACCCCCTATTGGATTTGATTTGAATTTATAAGGGTATTAGGGAAATATTTGGCAATAATCATTAAGTAATGATTTTATTGCCGTAACTAGTTACTTTTATTTTTACTTTCTTATAATAGTTTAAGTGTAAAAAACGATTTTTATTTGAAAACTAAAACCGCATACGTGTAATAGTAACAAACAGAATATCATTCTTTATGTTACACGACCTAACCAATTAGTTTCGGTGTTTAGAGAAGTATTAAATCATTGTAACGGACAAACACGGTAATAATTCTGTCGTGGTTCCACTTTATAGTACAAAACAGTAAATGCTGTTAACAACCATTTTTTACATCATTTTGGTTGACGTTAATAAGCAGTCCTTATCGTGTTTTATCATTAGTTCCAGTGTAAGTTATCGAACGTAGTTACTCCCTTCTAATATTTACTTTAAAAAATAATAACAATTATTAAAAATAAAAGCTGTACCTGTAGGTACGCTCAAGAATGCAAAAGTACAATATTTAACAAGAAATACTTTGGCACGTTCATGATGATTATCACTTCGAACACAATAATACAGATATTTATAATAATTGCTTGGGGACTTTTATTGTTAAATTTATAAATTTGCTTTACGGAATGTGAAGGCCTCTCATTCCAACATGTCCAAATAAAAGTTTTAATAATAAAAAAATTTGAATTAAGTATAAACAAGCAAAAAATTTGACTAAACACTATTGTATGATAATAAATAAAAGTAAAACAAAAATACTGGTATGCAAGGGAAGAAAACGTAGGGAAAGAGCGAAAGTAAAGGTAGAAAACGAAAGATTAAAAGAAGTGGCTGATTTTATAGGGTTGTTCGGAAAGTCATTTCGTTTTTTTTTGTGGAAATGAAAGACAGTTTTCGTATAATAAACAAATAATTTGTTAAATTATATATTAACCGTTCTGGTCCAACACCTTTTGCCATCTTTCTGGTAGTAGCATAATTCCACGCTCATAAAAATTTTGGTCTTTGCTGGCAAAAAACTGATCGAGGAGGTTTTTGACCTCCTCATTTGAGGTGAAGGTTTTACCACCATCATTCAGTTTGTCCAGCTGATGAAAGTAGACTTCCGAATTAATCGTTGTGTTATCCGGTAAAAGCTCAATAAAACGATTCCTTTAAAATCCCACCAAACAGACAGCATCACCTTTTTTTGGTGAATATCGGCTTTGGAAATGGTTTGAGCTGGTTCTTCTTTTTTGCTCCATGACCTCTTGCGTTTGACGTTATTGTATACAACCCATTTTTCGTCCCCAGTGATGATGCGCTTCAAAAACGGATCATTTTTGTGACGTTTGAGAAGCGTATCGCAGACGTGAATGCGGCGACACAGATTTCTCTCTGTGAGAACATGGGGAACCCATACATCGAGCTTCGAGGATAATCCCAGGCCTTTCAAGTGGTCATAAACTGTTGAATTTGATAAATTTAACCTTAATCCGATCTCACGTGTTGTTATTCGCCGGTTCACATCAACTAATGCCTTTATCGCGTCTTTATCAGCTTCAACCGGCCTTCCCGAACGTGTTGCATCTTCGACATCAAAATTGCCGGATCGAAATTTAGCGAACCAGTTCTGGTACTGGCGTACTGTCAACACACCTTCTCCATACACATCAGTCAATTTCTTTCTGGCTTGAACAGTATTTTTACCCTTTCTGTAGTAAAACAGTAAGATATGTCGAAAATGCTGCTTATCGCTCTCCATATTTAAAAGGGCACCAACCAAAAACTACTGCGTAGAATTAATTGGAATTTTTCACACACAAGCCTTGCTATATGAGCTCTCAAAGCATATAAAAATTATACGGCTTAAATGTGAAGTTTGGTGCAAAAGAATACAATTAAATCCTCTGTCGGGAAAAAACGAAATGACTTTCCGAACAACCCAATAGGTATATAGAAAGTTAGATAAGTCTCAGGCATGAAGGTCTAATCAGAGACATATTATAGGCAAAAACATGAGCTAAGAGGAGTAGAGGAAGATTAGTTAAGGATGTGGAATGTTGTAGTTTTAGAGAAATGCGAAGATTAGCTCAGGATAGGAACGACTGAAGGTGCGCTTCCAGCCAGTGTTAGAACTGACGACCTTATGATGATGAAGCAAAAAAGAAAGAAACGATAAGGTAGTCATTAACATTGAGATGAAATTTGACCCTAGAATTTCCTCAGAGTGTTAATTTTTAAATAAATACTCCAACTTCAACTTTAGAAATGATCCAGTTTCTAGCCCTCTTAAGAGTCATGTAAAGTGGTGTAGGAGTACTAAATTACCAAGAAATTAATAATCATCTTACCAAATTCGAATTTGACTTCAGAATTGCCCCAGTAACTCTGGGACTACAGTCAAGTTCGGTTTGATAAATAAACTGAAAATATGATAACCATTTTTGATATATTGTTCGAATAAAAATTTGAAACAAGTTAAATAATCACAAATTTAGATTGAAGTTAAGATACATCAAAATCGTAATGTGCTTGAACAATTCTGAGATTAAATTCCTATTCAACGACGAAAAATACGTCGGTGGTCACTGTCCTTTCTTCTCTTGTGCTTCCAAAAACCCATTTGCTTGCTTCGGATTTTGATGTAAGAAAATCTAACATACCAGCAATTTTGGAGTCACATTCAGATTTCAATTTGCTGCTGTAGTCGTAAATGAAATTTCCAGTCCATGTACAGGCCTGACGCTGGAAGCTGGCGTAAATTTTACAATGGCGTGGATGCGCGGTGGCAAAAGTAGGCAGTTTTAGGTATAACGGTTGCAGCCCTCATTCTTCAGTATTCCTATTAGGGGCGCAGATTAAATATTTAAAAACAGGAATCAGTGAGCAAGTAATAGACAGACAAACAGAAGAACTAATTGTTGATGTTGGTGACAGTGATAGATATTCCCATGATGAGAGTGAATGTGAAAAATAACTATAAAACAAAACCAATAGGTTAATTTTTTCTTTTTGATAAGTAATGTTTTTACATTATTTTCTAGTACGCTACTGTCCTATCTGTATTAATACTATAATTTACGCCTACTGAAAGCTTATTTATGTATCGGTTCCAAGTGACTTACCCAAATAGGTCATAAATGGGCAATTACCTGCGCGACCGCTCGCCAGCTTCCTTCGTCAGACCTGTACCTACCTATTCTGATTTGTGTAGACCAATGGGTCATTGGTTTATATGTTTTTACAGGTGTTTGGGTGGTAGGGAACATAGGAAGAGAAAAGGGGAACATCGTTTGGGCCCTCGTGTTTGCCTACGTAGGGTATTTTTTACGATGGTACATATTTGACGAAAGCGTCTGGTGCACTTGCATGGTAGTATTTTCAGCTCTAGCATTCGACCAATTTTCAAAAGATTGGAGAAGAACGCCACGAAAAAAGAAGCCATTATATAAGTAAGTAAATGTACCAATGTCGTTAGTTTAAATATTTTAAGAGAAACCAGTGGCATTTAGCAAAATCAAAAATTGATTGGAAATATAAATTGTAAATTACCGAATAACCACGCACTTATCATGGTTATTAATGACCAACTATATATTTACTTAATCTAAAGTGAAGGTACATGCGAATAAAATAATACCTCTCCAGCTAATAAAATTGGGGTTGTTTAAAATATAGCAACAGAGCGACAGAATATCAATGTTTAAGAGGCCTATAAATAATAATCACAAAAAATTGCCAGACGCGAATCGCGATTTAGATCTTTTTGGATCTCATCAGCGCGTCGCAGGCAGCTCCGACAGAACACAGAACCAACTTTTACCTGCTGTCTTAACAGCGCGTTTTAGGAAATACCACAAATGGCGCGCTAAACGCCATCTGTAGTACGATGCTACATTTTAGGATTACGTATGCTCCAACAAGGTCCATTTAAATATATGGATATCTACTTGCTGAAACGAATCCCGGCGTAGCTAACCTCAACGTGATAGGCACGTTACCATAATCGAATAAAATAATTCGAAGTGGTCTGTATTCTGTCGAAACTGCCAGACGCGGATCGCGATTTCGATCTTTTTGGATCTCATCAGCGCGTCGCAGACTGCTCCGACAGAACACAAACCAACTATTACCTGCTGCCTTAACAGCGCGTTTTAAAAAATGCCACAAATTTTGTATTTGCCTGTTATAAGTTATCTATTGAATTAAAAACAATAACCACAAATATCCTTAAAACTTGCAGAAGAATTCTAGTCCTTTGCTTGTGTGGTTCAATCTACCTGTCCCTCTGGGGATCGTACTTGTATTTTAATGGCAAAGTGACCGACTCAAACGGCGATGAAATACCTATAAGTGAAGCCATTCACCACCTCTTCACTTCACCCTGGTGGACCGACCTTAAAAGATCCCTGTACGACACTTATCAATTTGCTCAGCATAATGGATGGTAAGTGATGATTAACACAGATAGAATTAAGTATATCTACTTATTTATCAAACCAGGTTAACCTAAACCAACTATAATTCGGTTATTTATTTATTTTTTACTAAATTCTTTCCCTTTTTAAAAATTTCCACGTCTTGACAGTTAGTTTGGTTAGTTTAGGATGTCCTAATTTGAAATTTAACCATATTTGACACTAGTTTATCCTGAAATTAAGTTTGGCCGGTAGCAGATCGAGGACACTTGGCCTAGCCCAAACTGATTCATCCAATCGCTGTTTGGATAAACTAGTTTGGCCGTCCAGGAAGCATCAGATTTAGGACAGAATTGTTTGGATTAGACCATGTAGTTCAAAACTGATTCACCCAATCACTTTTCGGATAAACTAGTTTGATCGTCTAGGAAAAATATAGTTTATCATAAAATCGGGGTTAACTGATAACAGGATTTGGGACACAAACTACTTTGGTTTATCCTGTAACTCACTGGATACTTTAGTTCGGTCGCCTAGGGAAAAGTAGTTTATCTCGCAGACTTACAACAAAAGGCAATATTCATGCGCCAGTACTGTCATATATCATGATTTTCTTGTAGGTACGAAGTATGGAAACAAATTATCGATTTATTCGATCCTCAAGGTGAACAAAATTCATATAAAGTTTTGGGACTGTCGCCGACAGCATCCCAATCTGAAATAACCGCAAGATGGCGTCATTTAAGCCGCGAATGGCATCCTGACAAAGTTAAGGATCCCACACAACAAAGGATAGCACAGGAAAAGTTCATGGAAATACAACAAGCTTACGAAATCCTTTCCAATCTAAAGTCAAAACGCAGGAGAAAAAACAAAAAGTCAGTCGAATTATAGGATATTTATTTTATGTACATATAAGACCAAATAATCTATTTTATAAATTTACTTTATTGAATTTTATAATTTATCCTTTAAATAAATTATTTTGAAAAGGGTTGCGCACTATATCTAATCAATAAAGCTACATGCTCGCAAGACATTTTGTAAAACGACCTTTTCTTTAAAAGAAATTATCAACAGACCAAAAAAATATGATAATAATATGATATAACCTACTAAGATTAACGTTTTTCATCAAGAGTTTATCTGTAATCCATTCGGTAAAATAAGAACGAAGTCCGCAGCTAAAGACGAATCCGCATCACACATTGCGTATCGCATTGATAAGGCGGAAGGCAGCCATCTTACTGGAAAGGCCTTGCGCTTATGCATAAAGCAAAAGTGCGATATTTTAAACTGAAAAATGTTTCTGATTTATTGCAATCACAGCATTGTTTTCAGTGGGTAGGCAATATTAATTTAAATAATCCAATTACTCTTCATATAAATTTTTAAAGCCATACGATAAATAGGTAACTGGGAATATTATTGTTCAATATTCATGGCCTCAGAACATTTTACGGATTGTTTAAGTTTAAGAGGAGGGAATTAAGATTTTTTTGTCGATAAAATTTTCCATTAAATTCAGCGATTGAAATGAAATGGAAAAGTACCAAAAATGTATTTATTTCTACTACAATTTATCTTGAATTATCTAAAGACAGTTTTATTAAAACATTTTATTCTGTTTTACAAGAAATAATAAAATAATTCATAATTCAACATTTCTAACTGATAGGTACTTATTGTGCTTTAAAATCTATAAAAATCACTAAAAGGAAAACATGTAAATTTTACAAGAGTTTATCAGTTCTACTTTACAATAATATGAAGGCTTACAATAAAATCGGATACATTTAATTTATTTAAAAAATGGGTATTTAATATTACTATATTTATTGCAAATTTTATTTTACTTATTGGACACATGACGAATATTAGTTATGATAAAGCACCACTGCATAGATATAGTATCTTACACTAGAATAGTTTGTTTAAAAATTAAAAAATAAGTTACTTACCGTAAATTATTAATAAGACAAACAATTAAGTACCTAATGGTCATTCGGTGTATAAAAGAGAGGCCGCCCGAAA